GTTTACATCTGGGAGCAGCTTGGCTACCCAATGTGGCTGGCGTTCTTGGAAGGGTTTAGTCAAACCCAAAAGCGGAGTCTTACCAAGGATTAGGTTCATTATTGCAGGTGCACCCTGATTGCTTGCTCGTAACCACTGGTGCGAGCTGCCTAAAGTGTCTCACACGGGACTGCCTGCCCTCCGGCAGCCTCCATGGCCCTGCACACCCACAGCCACTTCCTTCCCCAGCCCGTACAGCAAAGTCTAGTTTATCTCCTTCAGGAGAAATGAATAAGGCAAGAGAACTGGCATCCATAATCAATCTCTCTTCAAGGATCTATTTACTTGTAATTTTTAAATGTTTGAGTCACTGTCCCTTTACTATGACAATAACATGAAATCCCAGTCCAAGATATCTGAGAGCCTCTCTTCATTTGAATAAAAATGTTTCTACTGAATGAAGCACATTGAAATAATGAAGTGCTGCCCTAGCTGGTTTGGCCCAGTGGATAGAGTGTCAGCCTACGGACTGAAGGGTTCCAGGTTCCATTCTGGTCAAGGGCACATGCCCCAGTTGTGGGCTTGATCCCCAGTCGGAGGCCTGCAGGAGGCAGCCCATCAATGATTCTCTCTCATCATTGATGTTTCTCTCTCTCTCCCTCTCCCTTCCTCTCTGAAATAAATTTTAAAAATATATTTTTAAAAAGGAAGAATTAAGTGCTAAAGAAGAAGACCCCCGGATCAGAGCCCACTGGCTTCTTTCCCTCCACCTGTCTGCAGCTTCCAGAGGTTGGCATGAGTGAACGGGTGCTACAGTAGTTCCTTTGGCTGTGTCCTGAAGTTGGCTCTGGATTTGTTAATGCTGGAATCTGCAGCCGATTTCAGCTGGACTCGGTTTCTCATTACCTGGTACTTATGTTTCAATTGGGGAGATATTTCAGCATTAGCTTCTGAGCTTGCACAAGCAGGAGCCAAAAGCTGAGCAAAATCTTCATCTTAAAAACATTTCCCACATATGTTAAAAGGCTGGATGTCTTAATTCCACTCAGTAACATTGGTCCCCAAAATGTTTTCATTTCCATATGCAGACTCCAAGAGGGAAATGGAAATTGGAGGTTTGAGAGAGCCTTGAAGCTTAGCTCACCTTCCTCTGAAGCTGCACCTCACCGTGTTGTAGACACCTCAGGCATCTGCGTGACCAACACAGTGAGGCATGATCTGTTCGTGCGTTTCCTGTAGAAAGAACATGCAAACAAACAGGGTTAAATTTCTATTTTAAGTGCATAATCCTGCATGTACACTTTCTCAAGAGAATGGCCATTTATGATGCACCTATATCCTTTATTGTGTGTATAGTATATTTTAGGTGAACAGATGCTCCTTCAAATGATTTTAAGTTGTATAATAGTATATGCAACCTCGGGATATTTTCATCTGTTCCTTGCTGAAAATCCTATCTTCAACATCACCCCCAAAAAAGTTACCATTCTCATTTTGATATTGATATTCTTTGTTAAAATAAAATGTTTTTTTTCTCTTTGGGGGAATGTTGTCTGGTTGGTTGGTTGGCTTTGGGGAAGTGGTTGTATTGTGGGTTTGAATGATTTTCCAGAAGCCCCAATTTTTAAAAAATATATTTTTATTGATTTCAGAGAGGAAGGGAGAGGGGGAGAGAGATAGAAACATCAATGATGAGAGAGAAACAATAATCGGCTGCCTCTTGCACGCGTCCCCTACTGGGGATCAAGCCCACAACCTGGGCATGTGCCCCGAGTGGGAATCGAACTATGACCTCCTGGTTCATAGGTCAATGCTCAAGCACTGAGCCACACCGGCTGGGCCAGAAGCCCCAGTTTTTTAGCAATCAAAGTCAAAGCATGTAATTGATTCTGTGTATCAGGAAGTCTTTTTTGTTAACTCAGTTACCCAGTATGCTAAAGAAATGGCACAGCCGGAAGAACTTAAGAGGCAAATACAAAGCCAAAACCTTAGGAACTGTTTGCTTTACTCCTCGTAACCAGGACCTGGAACAGAGAATAGAATAACCCCTCACATTCTTCTCCTTTAGAGACAAGTATCTGCCCAACCTCCAGGTCACAGTGCTTTGTACCTGCTCCTCTTGTTCTCATCCTTTCCCTATTTCTTGTTCCTTTAATAGAAACCATCTCCTCAGAGGCCTTTAGCAGCCCCTTCACTCCAGAAGCGCTACAACCAGCATTTCAGCCTAGACCAGTGATGGCGAACCTATGACACACGTGTCAGAGGTGACACGCAAACTCATTTTTTGGTTGATTTTTCTTTGTTAAATGGTATTTAAATATATAAAATAAATATCAAAAATATAAGTCTTTGTTTTACTATGGTTGCAAATATCAACAAATTTCTATATGTGACACGGCACCAGAGTTAAGTTAGGGTTTTTCAAAATGCTGACACGCCGAGCTCAAAAGGTTCGCCATCACTGGTCTAGACCTTCAAACAATCACATTCATCTCCATCCATGGAGCTAATAAACCCAGAAGTGGAATGAGCTGTGAGAATCCATACTCTCCATTCCAACATGCTCTTGCGAGGGGGAATCCGGGAAATTCCCCTTACCTTTTGTTAATTGCAAAATAAACGTATTTCCGAGAGTAGGGAGCTGCTGAGAGTTGGTTTTATCCAGCGCTCCCCTACAAGCACCATCATTCCCCTACACCCAGCGCTCACATTATCTGGGCAGTGAGTTGCGAGCACACAACCTTCCTCTCAGCAGCAGTCTCTCCGAATTCCCCTCCGAGGCCCTGCTCCTTCCTCCCCCACCCCCCCCCCCTCAGTCTCTCCTGGTATCAGCTGTGATCTGAGCAACAGTAAAGCATTGTCTTCCTAGAGGTTATATAGGAAACTAGAGAAAATTTGCAACCTCCATAAAACAACCCCAGTCTGCATTAGGCACCTCCAGAAGAAACTGCAAACTTGCTCATCGGTGGGGAGAGAGGCTGACAGCAATAATGTAAAGGCTTCTCCGGCAGGAATGACTCGGAAGGAGCTCTCCGAGAAGGAAGGCTTCGTGCTCCGTAGGGAGAGTTTGGTTCTGGGTCAGAGGAACCTGGCGCGCTGTCTATCCGCTGTCTCTCTGGGGCCAGGTGCTCGACCTTTCTGAGCTTTGGTGTCATCGCCCGAAGAAGGGTAACAGCAATGCCTCTGAGTGTGGTTGACACAAGAATTACAAAAAATTAATAAAAAGGATCCTGCTTATGGCCAGAAAGCTATACAATGCAGTAATATTTATAGCTTTATTTCCCAAACACGGTGCCTTGCACAAAATTAGAGTTCATAAATACTTGTGGCAGTGAGGGGAGTGAAAGAGAGAAGGAGAAAGGAAAGGTGAAGAGAGAGATTTGAAAGGATTTGAGTTGAGCACTGACAGAGATAGTCTCCTCCTGCTAATTAATAACTTTTCTGATTACAATGTGTGTTTACTATGGAAGTGTTTGAACACCACGGACTAGGAACAGCCCCAGAGACCCTGCAGATCGGAGGCCCCTGGCTGCCAGGCGCTCTGCTGCCGGTACAGCAATTACGCCGCTTACGGCACGTGTCACGACTGGTCTGTTATTTCAGAACCCCGTTCCCTTCCCCTGACACCGGGAAGCTCGGTTTCAGGGCAGTTTCTCCTGCCATCACCCCCAGTCTACAAAGGACCGCCATGATCCAGCCCAGCTTCCCGTGATGCCCGCGCCCCTCACCTGTGCATCCCTTATATGGCCTTATTGAAGGGCGTGTCCACCTGACCTGCCAGGCGAACATAGCCCCTGCTTCCCAGGAGGCCGGCATCTATGGAGTGGGTCAATGGGCTCCCTCACTCCCTGCCTTCCAGTCTGATTGGGCAGGAGATCCAGGCATGGGAGCAGAGTGAGGTGGGTGTGTGCCAGCCTCCCTCCCCACCGGGCCTCAGTTTGGTGATGGCTGCATCTTCCTATGCGTCCCTCTCCTACAGTTCTCTTTGGGGTCTGATAGTCACTTCCCCTCCTTGTTCCTTTACCTGTGGTCGGCAAACTGCGGCTCGCGAGCCACATGCGGCTCTTTGGCCCCTTGAGTGTGGCTCTTCCTAAGCCTTAGGAGTACCCTAATTAAGTTAATAACAATGTACCTACCTATATAGTTTAAGTTTAAAAAATTTGGCTCTCAAAAGAAATTTCAATCATTGTACTGTTGATATTTGGCTCTGTTGACCAATGAGTTTGCCGACCACTGCTTTAGCCTAGGGCTGCCCGTTGCTTCTAAACAAGTGTTTAGAAGTGTTTCACAGCCCTTGTTGGTTTCCCTAACTCTGCTCAAACTCTCCTCAATGTCCCACTGCAGTGTGTCATTTGTTTACTGCCAGGGCCCTTACTGATGAATTTCTCAAATTCTGGCCAGCCATAACCTCTGCCTCTTCACCCTAAGTTTCCTTAAGAAGCAGCCCTTTCTCTCAAAAAGTCCAGAGGGACGTGCTCAGGGATGGGTTGAGAACATGTGAGTGGCGCTACCAGGTATTACCCCCTGTCACCGCCCACCGTCCGCCCAGAGGCCCCAGGCACTCAACTCCTTGTCACGCTAGGGTTGACTTTCTTGCCTCCCAAAACAGATCTGCACTGAAGAGTGGGGTGGATGTTGCTTCCAGATGTCCACTTCAGCATCCCAATCCCTGACCATCATCCCAACTTTTGCTTTACTGTTTTCATGGGGACTCCTTGATTCCCCCACTCAAAGAGGACTCCTGGCTCCCAGCGGTGATGCATCAGGGATAGAAACTTCAGGGACTCACGCTACCCAGCCGGCTCTGTGTATTCCTTCCTAAACACGACATCCTACATGAAGGTACAAGGAACCTCATGGTTCATTTTAAAGAGGGTTTGTTATTGTTGTCCCAGGTGTATTAAAAACTATTTTGGAAAGTTCTCATCAATTCAAAAGACAGAAGACAGGCTTTATTTGCAGTAATAAGATTCTTACGGCACATTGTGGAAAAGGAACAAGGTCAATTTCAACCCCCAAAATGTCAGAATTAAAGACACTTGCAAAGCACTGGAGTTTTAAAAGAGCCAGAGGACCAGCTGCCAGAGGCTTTAGAGAGGGCAACAGCTACACAATCACGTTCCCCGAGCCAGCAATGCAGTCTTACCCCTTACAAACATTTTTTCTGAGTTTAAAAAAAAATTACAATTTCAATTTCAAATAGGCTATAAATGGGAAAGGATATTTGTGGTTCATCATTTGGGGCATAGCTTTGGGAGAGCATCCCATGAGTCTAAAAACACAAGTTTAATTTTGTAAGTTTTTAAGTGTAAATGATAGCTGCCACTCCCTATTGTTCCAGAGAACTTTTATTTAAAAGGAGCCTCTTTATTAAGGATCTTGAGGGGACTTAGGGAATTTTGCTTGAAAAAAGAATCACCCAAATCCAGATTCCTTTCCTTTTGAGCTACCATTTCCCTACCTGCTTTGATAATTGCCCAGTTCCAAGGAGAGGGAGGACTTTCTCTAAGGAAGCTTGCAGTGGGATTTGGGGTGGAGGCAGGGGGACTAAAGCAGTGGTTTTATTGATTTCTGGCCCTTTTGTCATAAATCTATTGGAGGCCAGTCATTAAGGAGGACATGAGAATTTAAAGACTTCCTAGCCTCATTTCCTAATTACGCCCACTGCATTGAACCCACTGGCGTGTTATAAACCCACGATGGTGCTATACAGATTATGTCCTGAGCTTCAAGGTAGAGGAAAATTAATTTGCAGGTGTGTGAACAGGAGAACTTATGCTAGTGAAGGCACAGATATGGCTTTGCATTTTGTTAGCTGTGTGCTGCCTCCGGGCCTGGTGCCTGAGCTGAACCCAAGGGAGACAGGCAACCTCCTCCACAGTGTGGTCCAAATTAAACAGTCCTCGACTCCAGGGGTCATCGCTGCTGGTGCTGCTGGTGCTGCCCGTGCCGGTGGGTCTGCGAGGCTCAAGGCTGCCACCCGTGCTGCAGGCCACGCCAGCGTCAGATGGTCTCGCACTCGGTGGTGGCAGTGGAGCAGGCCCCGCAGTCACAGCGGACGGCCACGGGGTAGGTGTAGAAAGGGTCGACCCCCGGGGCACAGCTGGGCAGCTTGACGGTCACTTGTTTGGTCTCGTTGTAGGTACAGACTCGGTGGTGGGCTTCGATGTAGGGGGGCTCCAGAATGGGCTTCTGTCCCCACAGGTAGAAAACAGGGAGCCATTAGAACAGCGCTTTTCAACCGAGGTGCCGCAAGAATGTTTTACACATGCAGCACCTGACTATTTAGTCAGGGCACTGGCCTCTTTTCCCTTAGATCAGCGGTTCTCAACCTGTGGGTTGCCAACCTGTGGATTGCGACCCCTTTGGGGGTCGAACGCCTAAGACCATCGGAAAACACATATATAATTACATATTGTTTTTGTGATTAATCACTATGCTTTAATTATGTTCAATTTATAACAATGAAAATACATCCTGCATATCAGATACTTACATTACGATTCATAACAGTAGGAAAATTACAGTTATGAAGTAGCAACGAAAATAATTTTATGGTTGGGGGTCACGACAACATGAGGAACTGTATTAAAGGGTCGCGGCATTAGGAAGGTTGAGAACCACTGTAATATGTGTTTCCCAAAGGGGTCGCGACCCACAGGTTGAGAACCGCAGCCTTAGATGGTCAAATAAAAGAATGACAACAGCCAACACAAGAGCAGGCCGGTATGGGGCAGACTTATACCCCCCAAAAGTTGTGTTTCTCTGGCATCCAAGTTTAATGCATTGTGGTATTATTCTGTTTTGGGTTTATTTTTTGCTAAATCTGGAAACCCTAAACCTAGGCCATGAGCAAAGGCTATTTTCAGCAACGTTCGACCTTCAAAGTAAATGCAGCCACTTTCTCATCATGAACATCCTATTTTCAGATGTGCTCCCAGTTAAGTTACCAAAAATAAGTGCTTTTTATCTCAGAAATTTTCAGATTGCTGGGAAAGTAAAGCTCATCCTTTTATTTATTTTCTATAAGTAACCTCCCTTTTCACAGCACAATAAAGGCATAAATAAAAGCTAGCTAGCATCAAGGAGAATCCTGTCTCTAATGGCCTTGCTGCTTCCATTTCTCCTGTGACCTCCTGTGGGTGACCATGATCCAATTAAAGACATTCATCAATGAAGAAGGAGAAGACAGAATTGAGGGAAATGGTGGTTTGAGACTTGGGCCCAGAAAGAGCTCCAAAGAGCCCCCAAGTGGAATTGGAGCAGAGGGGTCACCACCAGGCCAAACCCTGAATATGAGAAGGTGTCAAAGTTCCCTGAGAATGTGTGATGTCAAGTCACAGCCACAGTATCCTTAGCAACTACATTTTCATTTGGCTACTAGGTCTCAAGCCCCTAAATGATGCAAAAATAAAGCTAATTTGGTGTTTCATTTAATTCGGAGGTTCATCACCATAACCCAATCCCTGTCGTGGGGCCATCATTTGTCTAAGTGACAGCAGATTGCTGTCCGAGTCCCTGAACAGAAGGACAGCTTTCCTAATGGCAGTGTCCTCTCGTGGCGCTCAAGGGCTTCTAAGTTGGTGTTGATTAAGCGACAGGATTAACACCGTAACTCCAGGGAGAGGTCAATCCCATGTAAATCAACCGGTATTTATGAATGCCTTGTTCGTACATGACTTTGACAAGAGCTGTAAAAGGTGCAAGAATTCATCTATGCCTTGAAAAAACTTCAAATCTAGAGTTGTATTGTGGACAAGGAAGTAAGATGCAAGGCAGGGTAGGGTCATAGGCCGACCAGGGAGTCAGAAGGCCCCTGGGAAGGAGTCAGCTCTGGAGATGGGCCTCAAAGAAGAAGTCTGGTGATGACAGGTGGGGATGAGAAAGGATACAAAAAGGACCGAAGGTGAGATCTCATGAAGGGTGTTTAATAAAACCTTTAAAAATCAATCTGACAAGGCCAGACCTCAGGCTATGTATAGCCGCTGGGGAAACAGCCAGGCGTCACATTGCTACAGACCTTGAAAGTTGGGCACTGAATTGGCAGTAGTGGGTGGTCCTTAATGATTTCTGAGCTGGTGACAAGATCAGAGCTGGTCCTTCATTATCACCAATTCAGAGCTCAGGGGGAAGAGTTAGCAGCCACTCAGTGTAATTTGATGGGGTGCCGAATGGCCTTCTCTCTTCTCACCCAGCAAACACATCCTCATCACAGCCCTATAGGGTTCTAACTTTGAGATTTTTATCCCCATTTTAAATGCAATGCTGCTGAAAGGACTGAATATAATTCAATATAAAGGAACTTAATGGCTCTGCCAGTGATAATCCTGAGTGGGTGGGTGGGACGGGGGCAGGGCTTTGGGAGAGGCACTGAGGCAGGACTGAGGATCCACCCTCACCCGCTATACAGCTCAGGGCTGTCCCTTGGCTGGCGTCATCACAGCTGGGAGGACACTGTGAGAGTTTTGGTTACTTGCTTGGACCAAGAATTTATTCCCACCTTTGCACTACAGGAATAAACATGACTCTGCAGTTACTTATCCCTCAGATTCCTCCATGTCATCTGTAAAGTGGGTAGAATAATAGCACGTCTTAACCTCACAGAGATGATTCCCAAATACACAGATACACGCAAGTAAAATTATTAATTTTACCAATGCATTATTAGAGGGACAAGATCGGGTTTCTTTCAGGTTGTTTTTTTGTTTTTTTGTTTTTGTTTTTTTTTTTTTTGTTTTTTTTTTTTTGGAGCACGCCAAATAATTGTGTGAGTTTTTTAATTGATTTCAGAGAGAAGAAGGGAAAGGGAGAGAGAGATAGAAATATCAATGATGAGAATCATTGATCAGCTAACTCCTACACACCCCCTACTGGGGATCGAGCCCACAATCCGGGCATGTGCCCTGACAGGGAATCAAACCTAGACTTCAGGTTCATGGGTTAACACTCAACCACTGAGCCACACCAGCCAGGAAACTAATTGGTATTTTTTTAAACTCTGCAGGAAAAAGCAGATGCTTAGAAATCAGGCCAAGTGGACCTGCCCTGGACTCACCTCCCAGGTCTCACAGCGGCCCCAGCAGGCATCGGTGGTGATCCGAAGGCCCCTGCAGCCCGGCTTCTTGGCCAGGAAAGTAAACTCCCTGACGGCACAGCCCACAAAGGTGCGCAGGTTCCCGCTGGAGGTGCTGAGGACACAGCAGCAGCCAGCCAGGAGGAGGAGGGCCATGGGGCCGAGGAACAGGTACGCCAGCTTCATGCTGCTCCCGGGAGAGGGAGAGGGAAAGAGAGTCTGTTAGCTGATCCAGCTGCCCTCCGTGGGGCGGCCAACGAGGTTGATACCAAAGGGACCCGGCTCTTAGCATTTCAGAAGAAATAAGCCGAGAAATTGCAGGTGCCCACGAACTCCACCACAGGGGCCCTACGTTTCCTCTCACTGACTCCAATATGGATTCCATGGGCCCAGGTGCTCACTGGACACCCAACCCTCCGGGGGCAACCTCAGGCTTTTCCTTATTGTGGCCCAACTGCTGGACTTGACTTGGGTGTTAAAAAAAAAAAAAAAAAAAAGCTGTTCTCAATGGTCTCTTCAAAATGAACACAAAATATGAATCACACCCCAAATTCTGCATATCCTAAGATAATACATGGATACACACACATTCTTTTTCTTCAGAACCACTGTATTTGCTGCCATGTTACATGTTTGCTTAAAATTATATTTTCAGTGTCGTGGATGGATGTGGAATCAAGGTGGGGAGGCAGGTAAATAATAATTGTACGCCCTTCTATATTTTTACTAGCCCAACCCGCCACAAAGCCTGGACATACACAGATGTTATGAAACCCGCACCTGACTTGGTGGCCCTCGATAACAGTGTGTCCCCTTCACTGCCCGATGCCTCCGCTCTGTGCCTCTGCTGAAATGGCACCTCGTTGTGATTCCATTTAAATCCAGATGATGGAAAGCTCAGGGGTGCTAACACATAATCCCAGTCTACTGTAAGTCTGTCCTCTCTGCAGCTTGGTCATTTCCTGGGCTCTTTCAGGAGCCAGAATCTCTCCCTCACGCTCGGCCCACTAGACAGAACATACCTGGGTGTTAAAGTGAGAGTGGACGTTGCACTTACAGAACACCCCCAATTCATTATCACTTAAAACAGGTTGCAGAGTTATTTATTTCCCAACCGGATCTCCCAGCTCCTGCTTCTGACCTGGCACTTTATCAGGGCTCTTTGGACTTCCCCTCGTGAGGAAGGAGGTTACAGAGAAGAGATGCACTCACCTGCTCTTGCGGGAGCCAACTCTTCTCTTGAGCTCACACTTGCCCAAGGTCTCGGCAAGTCACAATGGGTGGTAGAAGCTCGCTCTGGGTAAATGTCTCTACCCTCTGTTCCTGGGCTGCTTGACTGCTCAAATATATAGGAAAGGTATTGTCAATCAACACAAAAGAGAGGCAGATCCTTACAGGAACCACTGAACACATCAAAGACCTGGGAGATAAAGCAGGTCTCTATTTTCCAAAACTGATCCACGTAAAGGGTGTTGTTTTGTTTCTTGACATCACCTACTGAAACAGAAAGTTACCTCGGTGGGTGACATAATCCTAGGGAAACAGTCAAAGGTAGTTCACCTAGCTCTCAGGACAACAAATGCATTGGGGCAAGATGGATTAAATTTTCCTTCGAAACAGGAGTCAGTCACTAGTAGCTCATGGCACACTCTTTCCCTTAACTCACAATACAATTCAATACATTGAGAAATAACAAAGCAATAATTCTTCCTGGAAAGAACACTGGATCACGAGCTGAAAGGATGGAAATCACAGGGAGAAGAATCGTTTGAAAGTCTTAAAATGAGTGAAGGATTAGATAATATTAATAGCACTTGAAAATGAATCATTTAGGGGGAAAAATACCAAAATGTTCAAAGTGATTTATCTTCCAGCACAGGAATGAATGATGACATTGGATGTCCTCTACATAGTGTTCAGCATTTTTCACATTTTCTTCATTGAGCAGACGTTTGTAATAGAAAATCAATGAATAGTGATGCTTTAAAAATTAAAATAAACCAATAAGTATACATTTGTGCTACATATAATAGTATGATTTCTGGTTCTTAAAAGTCTAAACTAAAGCCGAAACCGGTTTGGCTCAGTGGATAGAGCGTCGGCCTGCGGACTGAAAGGTCCCAGGTTCGATTCCGGTCAAGGGCATGTACCTGGGTTGCGGGCACATCCCCAGTAGGAGATGTACAGGAGGCAGCTGATTGATGTTTCTCTCTCATCGATGTATAAGTATACATTTGTGCTACATATAATACTATGATTTCTGATTCTTAAAAGTCTAAACTAAAAATTAAATTGGTGTTCTTTATGAGTATGGGACACAGTTTGTATTCAAATCTGCAACAGCAGCATACAAATGGGTTGAAAACCTCGTGTGCATGGTATTGTTCTGGATGCTCTAAAAAATAAATGAAGCAGACATCATCCTTGCCCTTCAGAGTTTACATATCACTGAAAATAATGACATAGCCAGAGACAGTTAGGATGCACATTAAATGGATAAATGATACTAAAATAATAAGTTAAAGCATTCCCAATTTCTGCAAAATAAAAAGTGTTCTTTAAACAAACATCCTACTCACTAAATGTCTGATTTTTTTCGAGACCTATAACAACCCTCAGTGAATCCATCACTGTATCATCAATATACCTATTTCTAGAGTCAGACTATTATAGGGGTTTATAGAAAATTGAACGAGCCTGGGAATAAAGGACTTTGTTCAACCTCCGCCTGTGAGTAGCATGATCAGAACTTGGATGTGATGGGGACAGACTGCTTACCTGGTGTGATCTTCCCAACTTGCTGGGTCTAGAGCCAGCCAATTGGCGGTGAGCTGTCATCCTGAACTGGGTTTCTCAAGAAAACTGTTCAACCCTTTTCGATTTGACCTGAAACATCCGGACTTGTGTCTGCAATGTCACAAGGTAAAGAAAGATAACAAAGGGGGGCCACGAGTACCTTTCTTCTACAATCATTAACTTCCTTATAATGCAGTTGTGACATCATGCCTTCCCCCCCCTCTCAGCATTAACACGATAATAATGACAATTTATAGTCACCGAGCAGCTACTAAGTACCAGGCTCCATGAAATCTGCTGTGCTCTTACATATGTTCTCTACATTTTACAATTCTGTGGATCAATGATTATTTTCTCCTTTACCCATTGGGAGAAATGGAGGCTCAGCTATTTTGGAATCTGCCTTCGATGACACTGGGGATGGCAGATAGGTGTTCCATCCCTATAACCAACTGGGGTTGGTTGAAAGGTTCTGGCTGGAACCCTGTTAAAAAGGCCTCTGAACCCATTCCCAGTGGAAGGCAGAGGCCCATCAGCCTCGCCATGGGTATAGAGAAGGGAACGGTGCGTGGAGGCCAATCCTTAGACTAGGCCCCGCCACCTGCCTCTCTACCGGCAGAGTGAGAGGCTGCTGTGTGAGACAAAGGCGCTTGAGGCTCTGATCCCTATAGTGCATCGCCACCATAGTCTGTACATCCACTTTCCCTTCCACTCCACTGACATTCCTACCATTAAAGTCACTCTCTTGAGGTAACAAACTAAGGTGTGGGCAATGTCTCCAGGCCCAGGCCCCAGAGAATCTTCTCTCATCTTCTTCCATTATCACCTTCATAAGCATTCATTGTCACTTCGGAGGGTGAGTCACAAGATACAGGTTCTCTAGGGGTCAGGGGAGGAAAGAAAGGACATGGGTGAGCAACCATCCTGAGATCGGAAGGAGCAGGACAACAGGGGAGGAATGAGCTCAGCGCCAGTGCCTCAAAGAGAAGATGGGCAGCTGAGGCTGGTCCAGGGAGGGCCACCCCAGGCGACTCTCCTCGCTGGCTCGGCCACACCACAACTTCCTTTGTGACCGCCTTGAGAAAGTCACTTCTCTCGACCTCAGTTGTTTCCTCTGTAACATGATGAATTGGACCCTGTGATCATAAGGTCCTTCCTAGCACCAGAATTTAAAGGTTTGTAAACTATTCTATGACCATACCAAGCTGAGGGACAATCAGATGGAGAATCCAAAGGCTCATCCTATATAATAAAGACATAATATGCAAATTGACCATCACACCCACCCACAAGATGGCCGCCCCCATGTGGTCACAAGATGGCTGGCAGGGGAGGGCAGTTAGGGGCGACCAGACCAGCAGGGGAGGGCAGTTGGCGCAACCAGGCCAGCAGGGGAGGGCAGTTAGGGGTGACCAGGCCTGCAGGGGAGGGCAGTTGGGCTCAATCGGGTCAGCAGGGGAGTGGTTAGGGGGTGATCAGGCTGGCAGGCAGAAGTGGTTAGGGGCACTCAGGCAGGCAGGCGAGCGGTTGGGAGCCAGCAGTCCCAGATTGTGAGAGGGATATCTGACTGCCGGTTTAGCGGGATCAGGCCTAAACTGGCAGTCAGACATCCCCCAGGGGTCCCAGATTGGAGAGGGTGCAGACCGAGCTGAGGGACACCCCCAACCCCCGTGCATGAATTTTGTGCACTGGGCCTCTAGTATTACAATAAAGCCATCCTGATCTGTGTTCAAATCTCAACTCTAACACTTGCCAACTTGTGATCTTGGGATAAGTCTTATAACCCTCTGAGTCTAAGTCTCCCACAAAACTGAAAATGCCACCTTCATAGGGTTCATGGGAGGATTCTATGAAATAATGTCCAAAAATTGCTTATCTCAGTGCTTGATACATGATAAACAGGCAATAAATGTAGTTATTCTTTCTTATCTCATCACCATTGTATGTAACCCTAAGAAATAAAAAGCTGCCAATAAAAAAATGTCATGTCTGGCCAGTGTGGTTCAGTGGTTGAGTGTTGACCCATGAACCAGGATGTCTCCAGTTCAATTCCCAGTCAGGGCACATGCCTGGGTTTTGGACTCGATACCCAGTAGAGGACATGCAGGAGGCAGCTGATCCATTATTCTCTCTCATCATTGATGTTTCAATCACTCTTTTCCTCTCCCTTCCTCTCTCTGAAATCAATTTTTAAAATATTCTTTAAAAAAAATAATAATATCACATTATCTCACTCATTTGTGGGATATAATGAACAACATAAACTGATGAACCAAAATAGAGCCAGAGAAAAAAAAATGTTAAAATACAATAGAAGTAATCCTGTTATTTGCAGATTTTTAATATTTCCTACAACTTTTGTGATATTATACTATACTATGTTAGTACAGTTTTGATAATATTATTATATTTAAAATCTTTTTTCTTGAAATATTAATGTTTATTGCATGAAACATTATTATACTTAAAATCGTTTTTCTTGAAATATTAATGTTTATTGCATGTAACATTATTACATTTAAAACAGTTTTTCTTGCCCTAGCTGGTTTTGCTCAGTGGATAGAGCATTGGCCTGCAGACTGAAGGGTCCCAGGTTCAATTCTGGTCAAGGGCACATGCCTGCATTGCAGGCTTGATCCCTAGTAGGGGGCATGCAGGAGGCAGCAAATCAATGATTCTCTCTCATCATTGATGTTTCTATCTCTCTCTCCTTCTCCCTTCCTCTCTGAAATCAATAAAAATATATTAAAAAATAAAAATAAATTTTTCTTGAAGATAAAAAATAATCTATACTAATAAAAGGGTAATATGCTAATTAGACCGGGTTGACTGGACATCTTCCGGTCATCCTGCCTTTCTTCCAGACAAAGCCACAGTGGGAGGGGGCCAAGGCAGAGATGGTTAGGGGTGATCAGGCCGGCATGGGAGGGCAGTTAGTGGTGATCAGGCAGGCAGGGGAGGGCAGTTAGGGGCAATCAGGCAGGCAGGCAAAGGGGTTAGGGGCAGTCAGGCAGGCAGGCAGGTGAGCAATTAGGAGCCAGCAGTCCTGGATTGCGAGAGGGATCCCAGATTGGAGAGGGTGCAGGCCAGGCTGAGGAACTCCCCCCCTGCCATGCACGAATTTTGTGCACTGGGCCTCTAGTAATAATAATAATAATAATAAACAAAAAACATGTCATACCACTAGCTATTAGGCATTTCCTGATATCAAAGGTATTAAATGTGGGAAAATGTGTCTGAGAATAGAGGAAGCAAAGTCTTTGGGGGTGATGAGACCTCATCAGGGTTCTGAAACTGGAAGACTGGGCACCAAGCAAAGTCAGCTTGTGGGGCTCTGATCAGACACTGAAATTAACAGGTTTTTCAGTAGGGGTAAAAAGGCTGAAGTGTTAGATTTAATTGTTAAGTTATAAATCACACTTTGTGGGTGTAGGGTTTACCATAGTAGCAAAATTCAATATATTAATAAATCTTCATGACTGCTTCCAAACAATTTCAGTTCTGACCAAGAATGGAGTCAAACTAACTGAGCCAATCATCACGCCCTGAGAACGCTCTCTGGTCCACAGACCCTAAAGTGAGGACCCAGAGAACGAAGCCATTGGCTGCATCCCTTACAATGAGTGCTCTCATGAGAGTTGAGAAAAGATGTGCTTGCTCCCCTATAGTTTTCCCCATTGTCCTCTCAGAATACACAATGTTCTGTCCAAGGGTCAAATTCATCAGCATTATGCCACCTGTGCCTGAATAAAAAAGCCACAAATGAAGCTATGTGTCTCAAGGAAGTAATACAATTAATGATTTTCCAAAACCACATACAAGAAAGGTTAGCCTT